AGACAGTGTCGGCTAGTTACCCCCAGGGGGAGAGCCTTCTCCGTGGGAGCGCCTTCCCTCTGGAATGAGCTGCCCCTGGAGCTTCGTATAATCCCCAACTTCTGGTGCTTCTGACGTGCCCTAAAAAGTTGGCTTTTCCAGCAAGCCAGCCTGGCATGAATAAAATAAATTATTGATCATTGTTAATTTTAATTCAGTTTTTTTTAAAAAATGTTATTGTTAATTCTAATAGGGTTTGTTTGAGATATTCTATTTAATTTTTTAAAAAAGTTTTGTATTATGTCTTTCTTTTAATGTTGTATGCCGCCCTGAGTCCTTGGCTTTAGCCTTCATGCCTAAGGGAGAGCTAGAACTCACAGTCTTTATTGACTTCTGGGCCAACCACTTAGCCACTATACTAAACTGGCTCCCTGTAACTTAAAAATATAAACCAATCCTTTGCAGCTTAATCTTCTGTTTATTTTTTCCTTTTTGAAATTAGAAGTGAAACAAGACTGCCAAACAAAGAATGTTACCCTAACAAGTGGGCCAGCTGTGGAAGCTCCACATTCTGAGAAGAATATTCTTGACTCTCCTCAAACATTTTCACAAGTAGTTCTTGAAAATATTGGAGAAAATATTCACCTGGACACATTAACACTATTGGTAGATAACATCAGTGCTCTTTCGGGAGATAGTACCTTCCATATTGAACAGATAAATGAGAAGAAGGCTGCAGTAGTAACCTTTCAGCAAAGCACTGGTAAGATCCCTAAGCTCATTGCTCAGATGTTTAATATTTGGAGAATCCTATGGTGTACTATACGCTTTCCTACTCAAGTGTGCTTCTGATACATTGGACTGCAGTACCCATAGTCACTTGTGAGTCAACAAGAGTTGAATCCCACAAATCTATGATCAGGATTCTGATTCCTATATTGAAATGGCTGAAATAAAGGACATGTATCCTGAGTGTGGGGAAGGTTGATAGGGAAGCCACAAAAGATCTTAAATCAAATCTGCTAAAAATGCTTATTGCTATAAGAATATGGCCATGGATATTTTGGTACTTTAGTTGTTTCCTGCTTAAGGAACCAAGTAAAGTATAAAAGCATGCTGAAGAAGTTGTTCAGGGTCTTTCCAACCTTATGGGAGAACCCATCTTTGTCCAGATCTGAATAAACATGAGTCAGAGACAGTTGGACTCTGCCCATTTGTCTGTGCTGGACCAGACGTAGTGCTCCTACTTAACAGGAGCCCCATAGCCCTTAGATTTGTGTCCTTTAACTGTTTTGTCTTTATTTTTCTCAGATCTCTGTCCCTTACCTTTTTTTTCTTTAACGCCCACCATTGCTAACCATTTTCTACCCTGACAAGTACTAATGGAAATTAAGAGTCCAGAACATCTTCTGGAGGCACTGAAGCTGAAGAACATTTTGATATTATTTAAGGATTTGTTCATGTCTCAGTTTCTAGAAACTTCATAAAATGTGAGCTCTTCTGCTCTGGTACCTGCAGATTCTGAAATGCTACTTAATCCATTCTTTCTCATTTCAAAATGTCACTTCAAAACATTTTCTCCTTTCATTCATGTACCAGCAGCCAGTAGCCCTGCACAGTGTTTTTTTCATACATTACATGGAGTAGGAGAGGGCCTTGTTCTGAATTCTTTTTACATTGCTAAGCCATCTGAGTGATGGCTAAAGGAAAGTGTTAAAGGTAACTTGCTGCCATGAGATTATCTGTCTATCTACTTAGTAGATGTGTTTCTCATAGGTAGATAAGAAACTATGGGCTGCCTTTTTAAACTAGAAAACTACCCAGTCTAGGGGTGTCAAACAAAGGGCCGGAGGCTAGATCTGGCCCATGGGGAAGCCCAGGAAACAGGACCGTCATGCAGTGCCTCTGCCTCAGAAAATGGAGCCATCACAGCCGAAAGTGAAGCTTGCAAGGGCCGCTGGCAGCACTCCCAACCCCGTTTTCTCTGGCAGAGGGTTGCAGGAGGTTGTTGCAGCCAAAACGGAGCTCGGGAGCCCATTTTTTCTGGCAGAGCACTCTGGCCACCACAGGCACCCCCGATACGAGTGACGTTGAACTGCCATGCCCATCCTGGCCACCCAAGGTCAAACACAACCCTGGTGCAGTTCTCAATGAAATCGAATTTGACACCCCTGACCTAGCCATTTCCGCATTCTAATTATAAAGGAAAAGAATTGATGGCAGATGTTCTTCATCCTGCTTTTAAAAGACATGCATAAATAGATACTATTCATCACTACTGTTTTCCAGTTTCACTGTACAGATAGTCCTCAGTCCATGACCTGGTGTCAAAATTCTGACAGCCGAGGGGCCCTTGTAGTCACATGACTGTATTTTGGGCAACTGGCCTGCATTGCAGTATCCCATGGGGACCTGACTGCGATCTATGAGATTTTTGCTAAAAAAGCAGCCTTTATTTTTCGGTTCTCTGCAAAAATGCTTCATAGTGAACAAACGTTCTTAAATATGTGCTTCCCATTTCTGTGCACAAATGTGAACACAGAGTGTTTAAAGTTTCAATTACAGGTAGTCCTCAACTTAAACACAATTGAGCACAAAAATACTGTTGCTAAGCGAGACAGTTGTGAAGTGAATTTTGCCCCATGTTACAATCTTTCTTGCCACAGTTGTTAAGAGAATTACTGCAGTTGTTGGTAACATGGTTGCTAAGTGAATCTGGCTTCCCCATTCAGGTTGCTTTTCAGAAGGTTGCAAAAGGTTATTGCATGATCACCTTGGAACACAGCAACCATCATAAATATGAGTCAATAGCCAAACGTCTCAATTTTAATCACTAGGGCATGAAAAGGTCATAAGTATGATCACAAGACCACTTGTGCAATGGTCGTAAGTGTGAAAACCAGTCATAAGTCATTTTGCAGTACCATTGTAACTTTGAACGTCACCAAATAAACTGTTGAAGTCAAGGACTACTGTACGAAGCAATAGATCAATGTTGTCTGTATGTTTTTGTAAACTGTCCAATCCCCCAAAATTAAGCAAATATCAGGTTGTTCTTTGGATAGGAAGCTTCCAGGGAATACCTTACGTTGAAAGTTAAACGGAGAACAGAAAAACATCCTGTAAAAAAGTAAACATAAACCATTTCCATATGGTTGTCAAGAATAGTACATGAAAATATCCTTGTGGTCACCAAGAGTTGAGTTGGCAGGTGGCTCCCATCATTTTATAATATCTGAGAAGACACTCAAACCAACAGCCTAGACATGTCTGTTTCACTAGGAATTTTCATAGCACATTAAAAGCATCTTGCATACTTAGATAAAGAGCTTTCTGTATGCAACTGAATGCTCTTTTGAGAAAAAGGGTGGGAAGATTAATTGACTAAATTAGCAGATAGTGTAGATAGTCCTTAACATACAACCATTATAAAGCCTGCCCATAATGGTTATAAGTCATGGCCGACCCAATTTTACAATCCATTTTTTATGGGCATTAAGAGAATCATGATTTGGCAAGTTATTGTGCACTTGTTAAGCAAATGCTGCGGTTATTAAGTAAACCCATTGATTTCTATTTTTAGCAGCTGCAAATTTTCTCAAGCAATGTTCCACAAACTACAGATTCCAGCAGTGTAGACTTACAGCCAGACCTCTCGAATTGACTAATGAAATCAAAGTGGAGAACATCCCAGCTGCAACATCCAGTGAATTCCTAACACTCTATTTTGAAAGTCCAAAACATGGAGGAGGACGGGTGTCTGATATTCAGATGTTACCCACAGAAGATTCAGCTCTGGTTACATTTGGTGACTCTCAAGGTAATTTTCTATTTTTACACAAAAAGAGTTTGCTATTGCTTGGCTAGAAATAAAAAACCCGATGTGGGAAGTTTGGACACATAACAGCATTGGGCTTGGTGTGTGCCTATCAGTAGAATTTTAAATGGCAGAATTGGCAGAAAAGGCACAGCAAGTGCAGCCAAAAACTAATTATTAAATCACAGAACAAAAATTGGAGCTTGTGAGACAGGCAATGCGCATTTTGTTGGCCTCTACTTTACTCCACGAATGTGGTTTGCAATGTAAAGAAATGGTGTTGACTTATGGAACATTGATTGCAGAGATGGAATTGAAAATTGTTTCTTGAAAGATACAAGAGTAGTATGTGGTGAAGGTAAAGTGAGTTTGAGCGATAAAAGATGAAAATAAGCATAAATATTCACAGATCTAGATTACTTTCTTTGTGGATCCCCATAATGTTTTATTGTGGTGGTTATTTTTAAGTCTGGACTGTCAAATTTTGTTTTATGTTTTTAACTTTTTAAATTCTGTATTTGGATTTTGTAAATTGCCCGGAGTAGGCAGCCATAATGCATCTAATTAATAAATATAAATAATTTTGATCAGAGAATAAATGAAACATCTATGATGTGAAATACGAGGAGTACTTGTAACTTAATTAATCTATCAAAGATATATTAAGTAGTGTTGGATGGGAAAATGGACTGAATGATGCAAGCTATGCACAAATGGCTAAAAACTAGAACAAGCAGATGATTGTGCATAGAGAGAAAATATATGGAGATACTGTATGTATAAAATGTACAAATGCTGGTAGAAAGATATAGTTTATTATGAGAAATATGGTATATCAGCAATGAGGAAATGAATAAGATTGGCTTTTTAAAAAGTTGGTAAGGAATTCTTAATGATGTTCCAAGCTGTGTTTTCCAGGAAATTCGAAAATCTGTGTTTGTTTTGTAAATAGTGTACATGGCTTGATTATTCACTGCATTGAATCTGAATTGTATCTGCTTCTATTGCAACTTCTGATACAAATTCTCAGTATATTCTATTTGTGTTTCTTTGTTTTTAGCTGCCCTGACAGCATTGAAAAAGCAGCACTCATTAAATGGCCAGTCAGTCCTGGTTTATCCATTCTACAATTCATTGGATACAGTTTTGTATGGAAAGGAGAAGCCACAAATCAAGATGCCAGAATCTATCAGTGTCCCTTTAGATCCTTATATATGGCAATTTATACAAGGAAAGTTTACCTTAATTCAAGAAGTAGAGAAAGAAATGGCCAATTGTTTCTGTGAACTAATATGGCCCCAGGCAACTTGTGAGAAACCAAAAGTCTTACTGTCTCCCTCAGCTATCTTAGCTAAACAAGGAACATCCATAAAAGAATTGGTTAGGTCTTGGAAAGATAAGGTTTCTGTAGAGTTTGCATGCATCCTGTCAAAATTCAAGACAGTTAAATGCAAAATCATTCCAGAAAAATGGGAGACCATTGAAAACAATTTGTTAAAAAATGTGTTGGCTGTGCCGGATGACTCCAAAAATTGTGTTACTCTAGCTGGTTTTGCATTCACTGTGGATAGTGTGGAGAAAGAGTTGAGGGAATATGTAGAACATTTGACCAAGGATGCTGAAATAGCCGGGCAAACATTGCAGCAAACATTGTCAATTTCCCCAGTGAAGTATAAAGTTTTGCAGCAGATCTTGCTAGAAGAGAATATCAATGAAGAAAACACTGGGCAAAAATGGTGTTACGATGCTTCAGCAAAGCAGTTGCAACTGAATGGAATAGCTGCAGAGGTTTACAAAATGAAAAGTGATTTACTAGAGAAGATGATCGGGATAGGAGAGAAAAATGTCAACATTCATCCTTCTATTTTCCAATTCCTACAAAGTGCAGACCCTGACACGGTGTCAGGGAGCCTGTTTAGGGCAAATAAAATTAATGCAGCCTATGAACTTACAGATGATTCTATAGCATTGGTAGGATATTGTCCTGAAGGCCTCTTAAAAGCAGAGGAACAAATAAATAAATGCTTGACTCATGAACACATTATATTGAAGGACCCAGAACTCACCAACAGAAAGCAATGGAAAGAATTAATTAAGCATCTGCAGAAGCTAAAAAATTCTGTTGAAAAAAGTGTAATAATTGACGACAGGGTTGATTTGCATTGGGATGCTGAAATTGTTGTAGCTGGTTATACAAAAGTTGTAGCAGATGTCTATCAGCAACTTTCTGATTTTGTTGAAAAAAACACAAACATGCACATCGTAATTCCTGCCAAGTCAGTGGCTATTGTGCAGTTTATACAGGAGGAAAAGCGAAAGGTTTGGTGTGATTTGAATAAGAAGGGCCTGAGAATTAATTTTGGACTCCTGCCAAAACAGAAGAACATTGTCTTGAGTGGACCCAAGGAAGTAGTGACAAAAGCAACAGTGGTGGTGGAACAAATGCTCTCTTCGCTCTACTCCGTAAACGTAGTGTTTGATAAACCTGGAGTGAAAGACTTTTTCAAAAACCAAGAACATTATTATGTTAAGCTAGTAAAAATGGAATTCAGCTCTTTGATCAGATTGCAAAGCGATGATGAGAAAAATGGAGGTTCTGGGGAAAATGTAGAACACCTTCAAACCAAGGTAAACTTTAAAAATGGTGTGGTGATAGAGGTCTTCATGGGAGACCTGACCACTTATCAAGCAGATGTTGTGGTCAATGCATCAAATGAAACACTGAAGCACATTGGTGGCCTTGCCAATGCTTTGCTAAAAGCGGCTGGCCCACAGTTACAAGATGAATGTGATGTTATCATACAGAAACGTGGAGATCTGAAGCCCGGCTGCGCAGTAATCACAGGAGCTGGGAACTTGCCGTGTAAACAGGTGATTCATGCTGTTGGCCCAAGGTGGACCAGTGCCAACAAAGAAAACTCTATACAACTCTTAAAGAAAGCTGTAAGGGAAAGCTTAAAACTGGCAGAAAAATGCAGGCATCGCTCCATAGCTATCCCTGCCATAAGCTCTGGGGTTTTTGGATTCCCAATAAAAGAGTGCACTCATTCCATTTTAACAGCCATTAAGGAAACCTTAGAAGAATTTTCTGAGAATGGCAGCCTGAAACAGATTTACCTGGTAGATATGACTCCCCTAACAGTTCAGGCTTTTTCTGATGCTTTACACAAAGTGTTTCAAAGCGGGCCACCCCAGCCCACACCTCTGCCTCCTCCATCAGTCGGTCAACTTTTGGAGCGTGAAGAAGATCTTGTAATGACTTCTGATGAAGGTCTGAAACTTATTGTAGAAGAAAAAGGCATCGAAAATGCTACGGTAAGCATTTCAATTAGCAGAGGAATTTGAATTATCCTCAATGCAAATAGAACATATTTATTTCGGACTTTTTATTATTATGCTTCTAAAATGCTGATATTTCACATTGAACGAGAAGTCTAAAACAAAATCGGCATCTGAACACCGTCTTCTCCAATGTCCAGTTAGATTTGTTGGGTTAGATTAGAATGGATGCATATCTTGGAGCAGAGTGGAATAGTCTTTTAGTCTGACAGTTGGAACAATTAATCAGTGGAACAACTTGACTCCAGAAGTTGTGAATGCTCCAACAGTGGAAGTTTTTAAGAAGATATTGGATAACCATTTGCCTGAAGGGCTGTAGGGTTTCCTGCCTAAGCAGAGGGTTGGACTAGAAGACCTCCAAGGTCCCTTCCAACTGTATTATTCTGTTATTCTTGACTAATTTTAAAGGCTGTTGCTTTTGGAGAGAAAAGTCTGAACTAGGGATGTGCTATATGAGTAACAGAAAATTTTACTTTTCACATCTAGGCAAAGGATATGGACCGAATTTCCATTCTCTGTTTAATGGGTTCTGTTAATGGAAAAGGCACACTTAAACTTTGACAAATGGAAGGAAGTGCTAACGATTCCTCTGCCACTCGTCCAACCTCTTGAATTAATAATCAGAACCAATTCATTAGGATATGAGTCACAGAGATGGGTGTTGCAAGGAATTAGCAACCCTTCTCCCAAGCCATTCCCANACATTCAAAAGTTAAATAAAACTCTTTTTATTGTTCGTTGAGTCGCCTGATGATTCATCTGAGAAGTTTAAATCTCACACCCTGAGATATTGGAACCCTGCTATCATGTCACCCCTAATCCTTCTTTTCATTAAATTAGACATACCCAATTCCAGCAACCGTTCTTTATATGTTTTAGCTTTTTGAATGTATTCTTTTTTGAATCTTTTTGAATGTATTGGTTTTTGAACCAGAGATCATGCTCTAAAACTCAGAGTGAAACAAAATCATAATGGTGTTTTCCCTCTGGTACTACTTTGTGAATGATGAGTGATAAAGATAGGAGCTAAAAAAAAAATTAGTGAGATGAATTTCTTCAGACGGAGTGTGAGATTGAAGTATTTTTTTCCTTCCATCCCATCTGACACTTTTAATACCTGTTGTCAGAAGGGGAGGGAGAGAAAGTAACCATGAAATAAGAAAGATTTATAGAGTTCCAAATCCTCCACTTAAATTTAAATGCAGTTGCAAACACCAGCTTCCCACATTTAATTGTCTTTTCCACAGTAGCAGTGTGTCAACCTCTTCTAAAAGCCCATTAATTCTGTAATTTAGTGCTCGAACAAGTTGTGAGACAGACAGAAACTCTGTCTGATTTTTCCGCCGCTTTCTTTTCATTGACTAGCTGTCATGGGCGTCTCAGCGTTGGGCCTGCTTTCTCCTTGAAACCTTTCAAATCTTATAAAGAGGGATGTGGGGGAGACTGTTAGAAAGCAATTTATAGTCATTTTAATGCCTCAACGAGGAAAAAAAAGTGCTTAGCCATCATTTATTAAAATAGATCATATAACAGTAAATGCTGCCATTCTCAAAAGCCTCTCTAGATCATATGATGTGGCTGAGGCTGGAAAAAGGATGCAAATTAAGATAGTAGGTTTGGGCAGCTCAGGAAAATGTGCCCAAGGGACAAAAAAAACCATAGCACAGTAGCCTAGAGACCAAGGAAGGGCACCCATACAATCCCAGGTAGAATAGGAGGAAAAAAACCTACCTAAAATTGGAATTGTGGCATTGTGCAGTGCTTTGCATTCAAAGAGAAAGAATAGAATAAAATAAAATAAAATGGAATGGAATTGAGTGGAGTGTAGAGTAGAGTGGAGAGCAGAGCAGAGCAGAGTAGAGTAGAGTACAATGTAGAGTGGAGTGTAGAGTACAGTGGAGTGTAGAGTACAGTGGAGTGTAGAGTACAGTGGAGTGTAGAGTAGAGTGGATTGGAATGTAGAGTGTAGAATAGAGTAGACTGTAGTGTAGAGTAGAGTGGAGTGGAATGTAGAGTAGGGTGAGATGTAGAGTAGAGTGGATTGGAATGTAGAGTAGAGTGTAGTGTAGAGTAGAGTGTAGTGTAGAGTAGAGTGGAGTGGAGAGTAGAGTAGAGTAGAGTAGAGTAGAGTAGAGTAGAGTAGAGTAGAGTAGAGTAGAGTAGAGTGGAGTGTGGAGTGTGGAGTGTAGAGTATAGTGGATTGGAATGTAGAGTAGAATGTAGAATAGAGTAGAGTGGAGTGTAGAGTGGAGTGGAATGTAGAGTAGAGTGAGATGTAGAGTAGAGTGGATTGGAATGTAGAATGTAGTGTAGAGTGGAATGTAGAGTAGACTGGAGTGTAGAGTAGACTGGAGTGTAAAGTACAGTCGATTGGAATGTAGAGTAGAGTGTAGAATAGAGTAGAGTGTAGTGTAGAGCAGAGTGGAGTGGAATGTAGAGTAGAGTGACATGTAGAGTAGACTGGAGTGTAGAGTAGAGTGGAGTGTAGAGTAGAGTGAAGCACGTGAAGGCCAGACAAGGAATAATGGATGGAAAGTGATCAAGGAGCAACATACATTTAATAACATAAATTTGGGGCTCAATTGTGGTCATATGTTGAGTTAACAACCTGTAGTTGTAAAGGGAACCTTTGCCAATCCTTGCCATGAAAAAGTCACTCTGATTATGCCATTGTTTTTAAACAACTGCTAATGTCTTCATAAAAAAAGGAGACACTCCAATGAGATTGATGGATCCACGGATCATGTGCCATAAGTCAGTGTCAACAAAGACTTTCTCGTGGTCCTATAGATCTTCCAACCGTGTGTTCCAGAGGTGGGTTCCTACCGGTTTAGACCGGTTCAGCCAAACTAGTAGTGGCTTGGCCGCCCGGGTCACTGAAACCGACAGCGAACCAGGCCTGCCATACCCCCGAACTGGTTCTCCTATTTGGGGGGGGGGGGCATCTTGATTTTTGATTCTGTGCATGCACAGAATAATTGTAATTGCACAAATTTAATTTTTTTCTTTTTTTAACATTTTGTGCATGCACAGACCTATTTTTGTGCAAATGCACACATACGCAAAGTTAGCATCTGGCATGTGCACAAGTGAAACGAGCGCATGCCCGCAAACTTTTTGTGCCCACGAAACCGGCAGTAATTCTGGGAGCAACCCAACCCTGGTGGGTTCATCACTCCCTGAGTCTACCCTCCAAGATGTTGGCCATCCTCTTCTTTTCTTTCCATTTACCTTCCTCGACATCGGAGACTTTCCCAGAGAATTGGATCTTCACATACTGCGTCCAAAGTAGGATAACTGGAATTTGGACCTTCGCCACTCTTTCCTGCAGTTTTATCGCAGGTACTGAAATTCAAAGGAACACAGTTTCTGTATCTAGGAGTTTCATTTAATAACTGCAAATAAAACAGGTAGTCTTCAACTTACAACCATTCATTTATTGACTGTTCAGAGGTACTACTGAAAAAAGTGACATGACCTGTTTTCCCACCTACAATTGTTGCAGCATCCCTAACGTCACGTGATCAATGTTTGAGCACTTGGCAATTGGAATGTATTTGTGACAATTGCACTGTCCCAGGGTCGCGTGATCACCATTTGTGACTTTCCTAATTGATTTCTCTTTGTTTTATTAAAGTTTTTCTATTTTTAATTTTCAAAACAAACACAACACATAAAATCTTCCTTTTTTAAATACTGTAGAAAGCGTATCAGTTGGTTAAAAAGACTTTCATGCATCTCTTCCTCAGTCATCAAGCATAATTCATATTAACTCAAGTATTTTAACTCAGATATTTATACATGTTACCGTCATCATACCTCCATTTCCATTTGACTATAGTTGTTTAAACAACCCATCATAAAATATACCAAGATTTAATACATAACCACATACTGGCATTTGATTTATATTGTCATCATTATCCCTCCTTTATTTGACTATAGGTAAATAAATTTCCTTATGTTGTACATATACATACATACATACATGTTATTACCATTATCCCTCCTTTATTTGACTATAGTCAAATGAAAATGGAGGTATGAGGACGGTAATATGTATAAATATCTGAGTTAAAATACTTGAGTTAATATGAATTATGCTTGATGACTGAGGAAGAGATGCATGAAAGTCTTTTTAACCAACTGATAC